CTCCTGACATACGGCAGGTGCGCGCGGCGCTGGCGCGCGCAAGGGCTTTTGGCACCGCGTCGATCGTTCAGCCTTGCATCGATCGCGGCCCCGATCGTTCAAGGTTGAATCCCGTCGGGTGCTGCGGCGCTGCCGCGTCTCTCGGTGCTTCCGCACCGCTCGATCGCGCGGAATTCAGCCTTACACACCTTCGCTGGCGTCGCCGGTGCGCCATCGCCGCGTGAACCCACCGTACAGTCAAAACTGGATGTAAGGATGCGCGATGAGGATGCAAGCGCCTTGGACGCCCGTGCTGGAGTTTTATTCGAGCGCGGCGGGCCATCGAAAGTAGTCAAGGATGGACCCAAGAGGCACGGATGCAAGGGTACCCTTGGGAAGGTTACCCATCCTTGCCATCGGTTTCGACTGTCAGTTTCGCAGGTCCCCGCGGATTTCTTTGAGCGGCTCTGGGCCCAGGACCCCCCTGTGGTGGCGCGCAAAGGGGGCAAGGGGAGGGGGGAAGGCTTCTTAGACGGAGGCTGCTTCTTGAAAGGCGCGGGCCATGCATCTATAGATAAGGCCTGCGCCTTCCACGAAGCAGCCTCTTTCTAACAAGGCCTCGCAATACCCCCCTCTGCGCGTGGCAGACCCCTCCCTCGTGCGCGGAGGGCGCCAGGGGCGGCTCTGGAGGCGCCGCCAGGGCGGTCCAGCGCAGAACCGAGAGATCCGCGCGGACCTCTGATCATGTATACTCCCCACCCGACAGGCGGGCGGTATTAGACTTAGAGACAAGGAGTTCCCGACCCGCCTCGCAGACCTTGCATACAGGGCAGTTTTTAATACATTTTTTAAATGGGACTTTTAATACATGATTAATTTATGAATCAATGCATGCATGAACTCATCGTTGTTTTTAATGCTAAATCCCTGCATTTTAATACATGGTCCGCACGCGGAGCATGTATTAAAAACGGCCCTGTACGGTGGGGGCATTGGATAAGGAGCCCGTAGATAAGGAATCCGGGGTCTGGAGGCCGGTGGAACTCCAATCGAAGCTCGGCCGTGGATCTCACCGCCGCCCTCATCAGATCAGGAATCCTCCAGGGTCGGCAGCCTCCTGGGCGCATTCCTTAGCGAACGCCCCCACCGTACCGCGGCCGCCAGGCCTCAAGGGCCCCTGTGCTCCCTGAGAATGCCGCATCGTGCCTTCGACAAATGCCGCAACTGCATGCCGCGGCCGCCCGGCTCTCGGGGGCCCGGTGCTCCATGGGGATCCCGCCTCGCGCTGTCGGGCGGGGTTCGCTCGAAGCAAAAGATTGCCCATGCCGTTTCTTCCCCGGACGTGATCGCGTCGTAAAACAATCCAGACGGGAGGTTTTTGGCATTTTTTGGCCTCGGGGGGGCCTTCGCTTGGAGGTCTCGACACATTACCCTGGACCAGCTTTTCATCCTGAGTCGTTTTCTGACGGTCCCGAGGACCGGCGAAGGCCCCCCGAGGCCGAAATTGAACCAACAACTCCGGCCTCATTGTTTCACGACGCGATCGTGTCTGGGTTCTTCTTCGAGGCCTGCCGCACGAGCTCCAGGCGGGCCAGCGCAGCAGCCACGCTGGAGGAGGCGGCGGCGGTGACGTCCTGCTCCGCGGGGGGCTCGGACAGCCCGGCGCCGCCCGCCATCGTTCGGCGAGGGCCAGCCGGCAGGGCGCTGGGGCGGTCCTCCTCCTCCTCCTCCTCCTCCTCCTCTTCCTCCTACTCCTCCTCCTCCTCGTCCTCCTCGTCATCCTCCCCCTCACTGTTCCAACTCGTAGTGCTGGATCCTTCGTTTGTTTGAGACACGTGCCTCCATCTCGCCGTATTGGACCAACATCTGCTCCTTGCTGTGTTCGTGCTCCTCGTGCCTTTATGCTGTTCCACTTCTCCCCCATGTCGTGGTGCATCTCGCTGTTCCTCATTTGCATCTGATTGTCCTGCTTCTTGATGTCCTCGCTGACGCGCTCTTGCCACTGTGGCGGGCTCGGATCTTGGCGAGCTCGGATCTTGGCGAGCTCGGATCGTCCAACTTCCATCTCTTGGCGAGCTCGGATCTTTCCTTCGCTGTGCTGCTGCGCGTGCTCGGGTAAGGTATGCTGGGCCCCCCGCTGCATGCGTCGTTCCTGTCGTTGGAGTTGTTCCTGCGTATTGAATCCTATCCGTAGTTGCTCTTGACGTATCCGTGATTCGGCTTCTTGTCGTGTCCGTTCGTCAGCTTCAATTGAAGAGTGGCTGTTCTGCGGAATTTCTTGCGCCTCCTCATCCTTCTACATCTCAGATGTCGCTTTCTTCTTGAAATCGTACATCATGGCCTCCGTCCCCTCCATTTGCCTTCTTGCAATCTTTATTTGAACCTCAATTTCCCAATGGTTGAGGCCCGCCATGACGGCCTCGGTCTCCTCGAGGTGCTTCTTGGCTTCTGCTCTCTGTGCTGTGGCCTCCGTCTGGTCGTACTTCTCCTGCTTCTTCAGCGCATCCTGGAGATCTTCGCGCTGGTTTGCCTTCAGCTGTTTGTACTCTTGCTACATTGGTTGCAATTGTTCTCTGTCTTTTGCTCGAGTCTTTCTCTCGCGGTGCAGGAAGGCGAGGCGATGCTGATGTATTCTTTGGTGCGATTGTTGTTGGCCGAGCCGCGCGTGTAGCTCCGCAACCACCCTTTCAAAATATTGTCGACCATCGTTGCTGCTGGATGCGGCCCTCCTTTTTGTGGGGTTCTCGTCTGCTCGTTCGTTTCCTCGTCAATATCGCCCTCTTCCCTCTCGTGGGAGTCGTCGTCTCCATCGCAGCCCGAGTCCTCTAGCATCTCCTTCAATCCTCTCGATTGCTTCGCCTCCTGGATGAGGGTCTTTAACGTGCCAAGGTTCCCGTCGACGTCGTTCTCCTCCCCCTTCCAGTCCGTGTTCCGTTGGTTGATATATTTCCTTCTGCGAAGCAGTTCGTCGGCATGCTGGCGAATTTCACGGACGCGCTGGCACGGTTCTTTTATCAAGTTGATCATGCACTTTGTCATCGCGATCTCATTCCTCAGTTCGCCGTGCTATACCTTCGCCTGCGTCGCTCCGATAACCTGGTCCGCCAGTCTGGCCAAGCGTGTCTCCTTTGTGGTCTGCCACATATTTCGGATGTCGTCCTCGTTGAAGGGATAGCTGAAGATCTCGTGCTTTTCGGTCTCCTCGATGGAGCACGGGAGGATCTCGTCTAACACCTCGGGCTGCCGCTTGGAATAGTTGTGCTTCTGGGTGTATCCAGATTATCCGCTGCTATCCTTATCTGCCTTGGCGTGGCTCGTCTTGTTCGGCTGCTATCCCCTCGATGCCGGCTTCCACCTTGCGTTCCATCCCGCCTTTTTTGCAGGCGTCCGCTCCATCTGCTGTACTGGTTGTCATACTGCCTGTGCTGCTGCTGATGGTGCTGCTGCTGCCCGTCGTTCTGCCACGGCCATGGCTGGCCTCCGACAGGTGGTCCTCTTCGTGGCCTTCCAGCGGATGCGGACCCTTCGGACGTCCAGGGGGGCTGTCCGTTCGGACCCTTCGGCCACCCTGGAGTCTGACCGCCTTTCCACATGCCTCCTCGCCATCTCGTTGGACGTGGGCTGCTGAGCCGAGTGGTGCTGTCCCAGTCGGCAAGCTGCAGCTGCGAGTCGAACTAGAAACCAACCCTGGCTTCTGACCTGGCGGGCGTGGCGGTACCAGGCAGGTTCTCCTTCGCGTGGCGTGGCGGCTCCTGCCGCCGCGGTTGCGGCGCCTGTGGCCCGCTGCGCGCGAGCCCAGGCCGACTGGGTTGACCGACGATGGCGACGACGGCCCTGCTCCTCCTCGGCCAATGGCTTCCTCCTCCTCCTCCTCCTCGTCCTCCTCCTCCTCCTCCTCCTCCTGCTCCTCCTCCTCCTCCTCCTCCTCCTCCTCCCCTCCGCCTCCCCCTCCTCCTCCTCCTCCTCCTCTTCCTCCTCCTCCTCCTCCTCCTCCTCCTGTGCGGGGGCCTTGAGCCCAGGTGGCTACGCGTTGGTCAGGACAGGTCGGGCAGATCCTGGGCTTCCACTCGTCACACCAGCCGCCCCGCAGTGAGACTCCCAGAGATCCAACGTATTATAAAAACTGAAGACGGCCTCGGGACCGTCAAACAACGACTCAGGATGAAAAACCGGTCCTGTGGAATGGGTCAAGGCTTCTGGGGACCCAGTATCGAAAAGATCACGACGTCGGATCTCTGGGTTTCTGAGCGTCGTCTTCGCAACAACCACTCTTGGCATGTGCCGCTGCTGGGCCCGAGTGGCCTCGCGAGCAGAGCTCGCGCTGCCCCTCCCGTGCGGCCCGCGAGGAGGATGGAGGAGAGGATGTTTTGAAGTTTTGGTGTTTTTTTGGGCCTCCTGGGGCGCCGTCGCCGCCACGGCTCGGCTGGATCAGCTATGAAAGTATGGCCAGAAAGCACCCCCCAGACAGATCCGGAGGGAAGGCCTCAGCCACCTCTGGCGAGTCCAGAGCACACGCGCCGAGTTGTTTCTGCACCCTTCCCGCGTCGGAGGGAAGCTTCGACTCCAAGAAAGCCTTCAAGAAACGAGTCAGGAGGAAACGCTGGCACTGGGCAAGGGGCCGAGAGGTCTGGCTGGGTCGGCAGGCCGACAAACCTCAAGATGGTGGGTGTCTGGGGAGCGGCGGTGGCCCCCCCGAGGACACGCAGGCTTGACGAGGGCAAGCTGCGGAACGACACCTCGTGCACACACAGAGCAACGGATTGACGGGCCCTGGCGCCGGACTCCCGTCGATCCCTTGCTGCTCCTCCTCCGTCTTCTCCCTCTCCTCCTCCTCCTGGGGGGGTGGCTGCCGGGGTCCGGGCCGGCCCTTCATGCCTGCGCCATGTCGCACGTGCACGTTCGTCCCATCTGATTCGTTTTCCCCCGACACCCACCCATCCTCCCAGTCTCCCACCTCGAAATCAGATGCCTTTCCTCGATTTTTCCATATTCCTCCAACTTTCCGTTCCCCATTTTCTCTTCCGACTCTTGCGGCACTTCCGGCCCATTGTGATAACCCGAGAGTCTCTTTTTTCCTTTGCAGAGCTTACAGCGCCGGGCATGCAGGTGTAACAATTCAGCCTCCAGTGCGCATCGGTGAAACCTAGGGCCATTCGACGGTGGACAAACCTCCCTTTAGTAAACCTCCCCTTAGTGAAAACGGCCTGGGGCCGAAACCGACGGACCTGGACCCGCAAAAATGACGGCCGCGACGCCCTCTCGCGAACCGAGAACGGCCAATTCCTTAATCGACGTGTCAGGGTTGGAGGTCTATCCACCCCCGAGCCATACGAGGAGTAGCCACCTTCGGGCTCCTGGCATCGGACAAGCCTGAAAGCTTCCGGAGGTGCAGTCGCCTTCCAGCAGCGGTGAAACACGGAGCCACGGGGTGGCTCCCACACTCTTCTCGCACTCCCGCGACAAGCAACAGAACGGGTTGCGTATGTTCGTGTCTGCTTCAGGGCGGGGGGGACCCTGGAGTTAAGTCTGGCCTGTCCCCCTACAAGGGGATTTTGGACGAAAAACAAAAACAAATAGGCAAGCAATGCCCTAAACAAATAGGCAAGCAATGCCCTAAAATACTCAAACATGGAAAACAAAAAAAACGTCCCCAGACTATTTCTCTGACTATTTTGGAATATTCCTCCCTTGTAGAGGGACGGGCTCGACGTAACCCTCGAGCTGACACGGGCGAGGAGGGGCCGAGGCAGATCCGGGGTTGGGCAGACCCCCCTTTAGTAAAACGTGGTTTAGTGAAAACGACCGGAGGCCCAAACCTGGCGGGCGCAAGCCTGGAACATCACGGCCACGGCGCCCTCTCGAGAGCCGAAAGCGGACAATTCACTAATCGACGTGTCACTGTTGGGGGTCCTGTCAACCCCCGAAACGAAAAAGGGTTGTGTATGTTCGTGTCTGCTTCAGGGCGGGGGGACCCTGGAGTTAAGTCTGGCCTGTCCCCCCTACAGGGGGATTTTGGACGGACAAAAAAACTACTAGTCAAACAATACCCTAAAATACGCACAAATGGTGAAAAACAAATCGTCCCCAGACTATTTCTTGGACTATTTTTGGATGCCCCTCCTGTAGAGGGACGGGCCCGACGTAACCCTGGAGCTGACATGGGCGAGGAGGGACCGAGGCAGCTCCGGGGCCTGCCCGCGAGCGGGCGCGCCAGGCAGCGGGGCGCGCCACGGGTTTGGACGCCCGAAATGGGTACCGAAAGAATGGGTACAATGCCCAACAGCAAATGTTGTCCCAAACCAACAGCGGCCGCTGCTGGGCAGGCGGCCTCCTGTCTCGAGTGGACACAGGCCGCGGCGGCGTGGACAGCGAGAGCCCTGTTCAAAACGAACAAGATCCGCAGTTGGGCATTGTACCCATTCTTTCAGTACCCATTTCGTGCGTACAGAACGGGCCGCTCGGCACGGCGGGGCGGGCGCTCGGCACGGCGGGGGCGGACGCCGCGCGGCGGCCGGCCCGGGCGGCGCGCCGCCGAGGGCACTCGGCGACGGGGCCCCCGATGGCGAGGCCGCGCGAAGCGGGGCGGGGCGGGGAGGTCGGGCCCCCCCGTCGGCGATCGGGGCTGGGCCTGGACGTCGTGTTTCGTTTTGGTTTCGTTTTGTCGTTCGTTTTGTGCTGTTTTGGTTCAGTTTTTGCTTTGCTCTGCCCGTCTTTTTCCTGCGCCCCCCTCCCAGTGAGCGAAGGACAGAACACCGCCGAAGTCCAGCAAAACGACAACGTGTAGGTCCATCCCGATCGGCGACGAGTGGCTTTCTCACCGCAGGCACTCCGCCCGAGGCGAACCTCCAGGCGCTGCTCTCGAAGAGGGGCTGACCTCCATGCGTTGCTCTCGGAGAAGCCGTGGCCGACGTCCGCCGCCACGCCACTGAACCACGAGCATGGCAAGCTCGCGGCGGAGGAGGAGGAGGAGGAGGAAGAGGAGGAGGAGGAGAAGGGGGAGGAGGAGGAGGAGGAGGAGGAGGAGGAGGAGGAGGAGGAGGAGGAGGAGGAGGAGGAGGAGGAGGAGGAGGAGGAGGAGGAGGAGGAGAGGAGGAGGAGGAGGGCATCGCGGAGGAGGAGCGCGAGGGAGGGGCTGGGGGTCGCTGCGTTTCCCCCCCTTTGCCTGCCGTCCCCCGGACGTCGCCCGGCGAGGGGCCGCCTCTCAGCCCTCCCCCTCCAGCCGCGGCAGGTAGTTGATGCTGAGGACAATGGCGCCCGCCGACAGCAGGAACGAGCACGAGACCCACTGGTTGGAGCCCGTTGCCGCGAGGGTCAGGGGAGCCGGAGAGCAGCGCATCCGAACGTGGGCCCCCCTCCTCGCTCCTCCTTCTCCCCCTCCCTCCCTCGCTCCTCCTCCTCCTCGCTCCTCCTCCTCCTCCTCCTCCTCCTCCTCCTCCTCCTCCTCGTCCTCCTCCTCCTCCTCCTGTTCCTCCTCGGTCCTCCTCGTTCTCCTCGTTCTCCTCGTTCTCCTCGTTCTCCTCCTCCTCCTCCTCCTCCTCCTCCTCCTCCTCTTCCTCCTCGTGCTAGAGAGCAGAACATGCACCCCCCATAGGAAGCTCCCGACAGGCGGAGCCGCTTAGCGGCCGCACCCAGGGGAGGCATCGACCAGGGCAGGGCTGCCTAGGGAACGCCCGGGGCTGTGGAAACGCCAATTCTCGGGGTCGGAGTGATTTTTCCTCCCCCTCCGCCTTCTCCTCCTCCTCCTGCTTCTCCTCCTCCTCCCCCTCCGCCTCCTCCTCCTCCTCCTCTTCCTCCTCCTCCTCCTCCTCCTCCCTTGACTCCTTCTTCTCCTCCTCCTCCTCCTCCTCCTCCTCCTCCTCATCGGGGTCGGGGTGGTTGTTCCAGCCGGCCCGGCCGTCCGAGGCGTCCTCGGAGAACGACCCGAGTCCCAACCCCGTGCGGTCACCCCACGTCTTAGGTCGGGCATGTCCTCCTACAGGCGGGTTCTGGACGACAAACCCAAACACACTCTCCAAACACACAGACAACTAGTCGACAAATAATCAATAATCGTCCCCAGACGCCCAGACTATTTTTGACTAGTTTTGAATATTATTTCTCCTGTTGAGGGACGTGCCCGACTTAACCCAAACCCGTGCGGTCACCGCAAATCCCCACTGACTCACCACACGGTGTGCTCACCGCACCGCTTGGACGCCCCCGGATAGGGGGCCTCTCGCACGTCCGCGCTCAACCTTCTGTCGGTGCCGAGCCCGCGCCGAATCCGCGCCAGATACGCGTCGGACCTACGGTCGGAGTGTACCAGGGACGACCGCCACTCACGGGACAGGGCAGGCCCCCCGAGGGTGCAGAAGCAAGGAGTGGTGGTGGCAGAGGTCGAGGCCTCCTAGATCGGTGTGGGGAGACACGGGCTCCACATCGACCCGCATCGCCGATGCATCGGCGATGCGGCGCGATCCTTCGGCCCCATCTGCTCGGACCCCATCTGGGAGATCTAGGAGAGGGGGCCGGCCTTCTCAGAAGGCTCAGAAGGCCTCCGTCCTTCTGAGAAGCCTTCGAAGCCTCCTCGAAAGCCACAGGGGGGCTCCTCAGAAGGCCAGCGGGCTGCTTCTGAGAAGCCTGGCCGCCTTCTCAGAAGGCATGCCTCCTCTCGGACGCCTGGTGTTTTTTTGGGTCGTAGCTCGGCTCTCTGGCAACCCTTCGGGACGATCCGGGCCCCCCTGGAATTCTCGGCGCGCGCCAAGGCTGGAAACCGCCAAGTACGTAAGAACACGCCTGCAAACCTCGAAGCTCGAGCCTCGAACCTGGAGCGCTGCTGGACAACACCCCAAGGCTGGAAAACCGCCACGTACATCAGAAAACGAGTGCAAACCTCGAAAGCTCGAGCCTCGAACCTCGAGCCTCGAACCTGGAGCCTCGAACCTGGAGCCTCGACCCTGGAGCCTCGAACCTCGAGCCTCGCACTTGGAGCCTCAGGAGGAGGAGGAGGAGGAGGAGGAGGAGGAGGAGGAGGAGGAGGAGGAGGAGGAGGAGAGGAGGAGGAGGAGGTGGAGGAGGAGGGGGAGGAGGGGGAGGAGGAGGAGGAGGAGAGAGGAGGGAGGAGGAGGAGGAGGAGGAGAGGAGGAGGAGGTGGAGGAGGAGGAGGGGAGGAGGAGGAAGGAGGAGGGAGGAGGGAGGGGGAGGAGGCGAGGGGGGAGGGGGAGGAGGAGAGGAGGAGCGAGGGGGAGGGGGAGCAGGGGAGGGAGCAAGGGAGGGGGAGGAGGAAGAGGAGGGGAGCGAGGGGGAGGGGAGGAGGAGGGGAGCGAGGGGGAGGGGGGGGAGAAGGAGAAGGAGGAGGAGGAGGAGGAGGAGGATGAGGAGGAGGAGGAGAGGAGGAGGAGGAGTAGGAGTAATTGGGAGTAGGAGGAGGAGGAGGGAACCTGGAGCCTCGAACCTCGGCTCGTCGACCAGGTGCGGGGAGGGGGTCCGCCGCCCTCTCGGGGAGCGGCTGCCCCCCGCAAGCGGCGTGCGCTCGTGCGGCATGCTGCCGTCCGGCCCCCCTGGGACGAACTGCTCCTGGGGGCGTCGCTGAACTCGGGGGGAGGAGGAGGAGGAGGAGGAGGAGGAGGAGGAGGAGGAGGAGGAGGAGGAGGAGGAGGAGGAGGAGGAGGAGGAGAGGAGGAGGAGGAGGAGGTGGAGGAGGAGGAGTGAGGAGGAGGAGGAGGAGGAGGAGGAGGAGGAGGGAGGAGGAGGAGGAGGAGGAGGAGGGGGAGGAGTGGAGGAGGAGGAGGAGGAGGAGGAAGGAGGAGGAAAAGGGAAGGAGGAGGAGGAGGGGGGGGGCGAGACACCACAAACATACACAAAAAACATAAACTGCACACACATATATATACATATATATATATTAATTATATACACGTATATATGTATATGTATATGTGTATTATATATATATATATGTATATATATATATATTATATATATATATATATATATCCGCCGGCCCCCTTGTGGGGCCACCAGGCTGCGAGGAGCGGGATTCGCAGTTTCCTGTACCAGTTGTAGCTTGTAGTTTCCAGTGTTACAATTCTGCTTATTGCTGGTTGCTGTAACTAGTTGATTGACCGCGCGAGGGGGGGGAGGCCCAAACCGGCTTTTTAGCACCCCCTGGGCGCGTTGTCTGAATTGCTGGGGGGGCTCGAAATCGACACCCCTCACGCAGATCCGCGGGGTCAGGGTCCAAAACACAGGGGATTTGCCACATTTCTGAAATTCGGTGCCACCCCTCACGCAGATCCGCGGGGTCAGGGTCCAAAAACACAGGGGATTTGCCACATTTCTGAAATTCGGTGCCACCCCTCACGCAGATCCGCGGGGTCAGGGTCCAAAAACACATGGGATTTGCCACATTTCTGAAATTCGGTGCCACCCCTCACGCAGATCCGCGGGGTCAGGGTCCAAAAACACAGGGGATTTGCCACATTTCTGAAATTCGGTGCCACCCCTCACGCAGATCCGCGGGGTCAGGGTCACGCACATTCTGGGTCGCAGATCGCGGGGTCAGGGTCCAAAAACACAGGGATTTGCCACATTTCTGAAATTCGGTGCCACCCTTCACGCACATCCATCGCAAGGCGTGGTAACCCAAACTGCGAGAACTCCCTCGGCCCTTTAATCGCAAGGTGTGGTAACCAAGCCCGTAAACCATACACGTCTTACCAATCGCCAGGTGTGGTAACCCCTCTTGTGATCAGTTGGTTTTGCTGATTGCGAATCGGCTTCGCATGAAGTTTCGATACTGCTTCACGACAGCGCCAATACCTCATGACTTAGCTCTTCCATGGCCCATTCTCCGAGAGAGGGGGCCGGCGGCAGGGGGCGAAGCCCTTACGGATATATATATATATATATATATATATATAAAACATAAACAACGGCGTACACATAACCGAACAACAGCAACACAGACAAGCACGGCATAAACACACCGGCATAATCACACAACATCCTCGGGGAGGAACGAAACCGGCATAAACATAAACTTTCGGCGCTCCGCGCGGACTTCTTGGATCTGCGCTGGACACCCCTCCCTGGCGCGCGGAGCGCGCCAGGGGCGGCGCCGGAGGCGCCGCCAGGGGAGCCAAGCGCAGATTCAAGAAATCCGCGCGGAGCGCCGAAAGTTTATGTTTATGCTGATTTCTTCTTCGAGAAAGGGTAGGGTAGCAACAGTTTGGGCAGAGAATCAGCTCACGTACCGCGCTGTGTCGACCCTGGCGTTGGTTCCGGACAGCGCGGGGATTATTCAAAATTGAACGATCTGACGTTTACGACCGGCCGTTTCCGAAACGCCAGATCGTTCAACATCGGCCGATTCTGGGTCGCCCGCGGCGTTCAACGTCGAACGCCGGCGTCGGTACATCCCTCCTCGAAATGAAGCGCAAGTTGTCCCACGACGTGGCGACGCCCCCAGGCCCCCAAACTTCAGTGTTTACGCCGACGCTGGCGGCTGCTGTTTTGTTGCTGGCCCTGCGGGTTGCGCTGCGCGCGTCCATCAACACTGAACTTCGGGAGCGACGGGGGTGGATAAAAACTTGCGTTGGATCTCGAGGAGGGTTGCAGGGCAGAGGATCAGCTTGCGTAGCTGGTCTCCCTGGCGCCAGGAGGCGCCCACGTATCCAGGACTGGGCCCCGGCTGCGGGGCGGAAACCAGCTGCGTGCAGCAGATTTCGTACCCCTCCCTTGCCCTATCCTGCCCTTTCGTCGGGCCCGACTGACGAGGGGGGCGACTCCAGAGGAACAGACAACCTGCATAAACATAGACTTCCCCAGGCCCGCGCGGATTTCTTGGATCCGCGCAGGAGACCCCCCTCCCTGGCGCGTCAGGGGCGCCGCCGAAGGCGGTCCAGGGCAGATCCACGAAATCCGCGCGGAGCCCCGAAAGACATGGCTGTGCACTGGGAGGCGAAGGAACGTGCCTCTTTCGCGTGCCCCTCTGGGGCCCCAAGGGGGGCTCTCTCGGGCCCCGTCAGGGCACAGAAGGTGCACCTCTCCTCACCCCCCTCCCGCGGCCGTCCATTGAGCAGGGACCGACCGTCCCGGCATTCCTGCAGGACTGCCACGACGTGTTCTCAGAACCAAGAAGTGTTCTAAGAGCATGAGCAATGCTCTCAGCACGTAATCATGACGTGTGAAAACAAGACTGCCTCGGCCAGAAATGTTCTAAAAACATTCCGTGCAGACCACAGAAGATTACCATAACATTCTAGTAGTGGGCCTATAGGCGAGCCAGGACGCTTCGCCACTGCTTGAGTCCACGGGACTGCAGGCGAACTGCCTCTGACCTTGAGGGGGGGCCCTCTCGGGCCCCTTCAGGGGACGGAGGGTGCACCTTTCTTCCCCTTTCCGCCCCCCGACGAGGAGGAGGAGGAGTAGGAGGAGTAGGAGGAGGAGGAGGAGGAGGAGGAGGAGGAGGAGGAGGAGGAGGAAGGAGGAGGAGGGAGGGGGAGGAGGTGGTGGAGGGGAGGAGGAGGAGAGGAGGAGGAGGAGGAGGGAACGAGAGGAGGTGGAGAGGAGGAGGGAGGGTGGAGGAGGAGGAGGACGGAGGAGGAGGAGGAGGCGGCGGAGGAGGAGGAGGAGGAGGAGGAGGAGGAGGAGGAGGAGGAGGAGGAGGAGGAGGAGCGGTCCGTCCACGAGCCTGCGGGCGACTACCTACCGACCCAGATCTCTCGGGGGGGGGGGAGGAGGAAGGAGGAGGAGGAGGAGGAGGATGGGGGGAGGAGGGGGAGGAGGAGGGAGGAGGAGGAGGAGGAGGGGTGAGGAGGTGGAGGAGGAGGAGGAAGGGAGGAGGAGTGAGGAGAACGAAGAGGAGGAGGGAGGAGGAGGAGGAGGAGGAGAGGAGGGGGAGTGAGGAGGAGGAGGTCGGAGGAGGAGGAGGAGGAGGAGGAGGAGGAGGAGGAGGAGGAGGAGGGGAGGAGGGGGGGGAGGGGGAGGGAGGAGGAGGAGAGGCGGAGGAGGAGGAGGGGAGGAGGAGGTGAGGAGGAGGAGGGAGGAGGAGGAGGAGGAGGAGGAGGAGGAGGAGGAGGAGGAGGAGGAGGAGGAGGAGGAGGAGGAGGAGGAGGAGGAGGAGGAGGAGGAGGAGGAGCGGCCGTCCACGAGCCTGCGGGCGAACTACCTCCGACCCAGATCTCTCGGGAGAGGGCCGCGCGGCGCAGGGCTCCCCTCGTGTTCCTGGGGAGCGGGGCGGGAAACGCCCCCATAACTTATGTTGCCCCCATCGTACTTGAGGACCACATCCCAGAAACAAGTTCGAGCACCCCGAAAAGTATCGAAGCAGTGTCGAACGAGTACAGCCTCCCAGGGCCCGACTCGTCAAAACCCTCCAGTTTCGGTATTTTCTTGGTGCTCGAAAGTCCCTCTGGTGTTCAAGGCAACAATAGGCTGGAACATCATAACCGCTCTCGGGGGGCGAACGGCCCCGGGGAGCCCGGCGAGGCCCCCCCCCCCTTTGGGGAAACCCGAGGCCGCTACTCCCCAGACCTCCCCAGACCTCCTCGCGCTGTGAAGTAGCATCACAAACGGGAAACCTTTCGCCATGTTCGGCCTCCGGGGGCCCTTCCTGGGCCTCGCGAGAAAGTCAACAAGCGATTCGGGATGAGGAGCCGGTACCGGGGAAGGGGTCCAGACCTCTGGGGGTCGACGTGGCGAACAAAAATCATGACGTCGGGGATCTGAGTCGCCCTGGGTGCGTTGTGGCCAGTAGTTCGAGGCGACTCCAGCGGCGGCGACGCGGGCCTCCCAGGAGGCCCACCAAAATGGGAAAAGTGGGCGAAGGGTAGAGGGTATGGATATCTTTTCCCCCTCCGAGTGGACGGCCCCGGGGCAGGGCGAGCCCTTGAGCAGGGACCGGCCGTCCCAGCATTCTTATAAGCCTACCACGACATGTTCTCAGAACCCCCAAATCTTCGAAACACAAAAAACAGTGCTCTTAGAACATAAACCCGATGTGCTAAACCAAAACAGCCCCAGCCAGATATGTTCTGAGAACAACTCGTGGAAACCACAAAAGGTTCTTAGAGCTCTGTTTTCGTGGGCCTATAGGCGAGCCAGAACGCTTCGCCACTGCTTGCGAGCCCCCCCCATTGCGCCGCGCCCGGGATGAGGAGGATGAGGAGGAGGAGGGGGAGGAGGAGGAGGAGGAGGAGGAGGAGGAGGAGGAGGAGGAGGAGGAGAGGAGGAGGAGGAGGAGGAGGAGGAGGAGGAGGGGGAGGAGGAGGAGGGGGAGGGGGAGGGAGGAGGAGGAGGAGGAGGAGGAGGAGGAGGAGGAGGAGGAGGAGGAGGAGGAGGAGGAGGAGGAGGAGGGGGAGGGGAAGGAGGAGGAGGAGGAGGAGGAGGAGGAGGAGGAGGAGGAGGAGGAGGAGGAGGAGGAGGAGGAGGAGGGGGAGGGGGGAGGAGGAGGAGGAGGAGGAGGAGGAGGAGGAGGAGGAGGAGGAGGAGGAGGGGGAGGAGGTGGCCTATTAAGAAGCCCAGGGTATCTTTTCCTCCTGGGAGTGGACGACTCCGGGCCCGGGCGAGCCCCCCCCCCCCCGCCGTTGCGACGCGCGCCCGAGCTCCCAGCCAGACGGGGCGGCCCGGGCCTCCCGGCTGTCGAACGTCGCCACCATCATCACCCCCGCCAGCAGCAGGAGCAGCAGCCCGCAGACCAGCACGTAGGCGGACCGCCCCGAGTGCAGAAAGGAGAAGAAGGCCGACACCACGGAGTCGCGCGCCTCCTCTCGTGAGCGTTGTTTTTATATTTTTTCTTTTTTTCTTGTTTCTCTCTCTCTCTCTCTCTATATATATATATAGATGGCGCTTCGGCACTGGGCGGGAGGTCGGGGGCTGCTAGAAGTGCCCCTGGCCGAAGGTACACACACAGGACTCTCGGGGCGGCCCAGACAGCCTCCAGAGCACCCCTCACGATGCCCAGAGGGCCCCATGGACTCGAAAATGCAGCGAAACGCTGGGGGCACCTTGGGCCAGGGGCACTTCTAGCAACACCAGAGAGGGGGGGGGAGAGGGGAGGGGGGCGTCTGGCTCCAGACCTCTGCTCCGTGCGACCGTTTGCAGCACCGGATCCTCAATGAGGGGAGACTCCACCTGCTCGAGACAGGCGCCCAAAACAGCCGAGATCTACTCCATGGGGGGGGGCCCGCGCCGACCGGCAAAACTATGGAAAAAAACAATCACCTTCGGTGGTAACCATTTCGTCGGCACTTGCGAATCGACGCTAGTCGCCAGTCGACGCTAAGTTGACGCTAAGTCAACGCTAAATCGACGCACACCGACGCTGAATTGGCTATTTCTCATCGACTCCCAGACGTTAATCGACGCTAGTCGGCGCTGAGGACGGAATTGAGAGGGTATACCAAGCTCACATGATTTGCTACCGAACTCGTCCGCGCAGAGGCCATCTCCCCAGACCCCCTCGGGCCAAGAAAGAGTCGCGACGATAAGTTTTTCGTCATGTTCGGCCTCTGGAGGCCTGAGAAGAGAGGAGTAAGAGCAGGAGCAGGAGCAGGAGCAGGAGGAACAGGATCAGGAGCAGAAGGAGGAGGAGGCGGAGGAGGATGAGGAAGAGAAAGAGGAGAAGGAGAGGAGGAGGAGGAGGAGGAGGAGGAGGAGGAGGAGGAGGAGGAGGAGGAAAAGGCAAAAAGGAGGTAGTGGTGGATGAAAAGAAAGGGTTCCAAGGATGGCTTTGCGTTGTTCGGGGCACCTCGTCCTGAGGGCCCCAGCCCTCGGGACCCCATCTTTGAGCCACCCAGCCGTACAACTGCCGCCTGCGGGGGATCGGTCTTCGGGGACCCCCAGCAGGCGGTGGATGCGGACACAGTCAGGCCTCCCAGACCCGCGGTTTTATTAGAAACGTCGTGAGTGTGCAATAGTCAGTCCCTCGAGCCATGAAAGAATCACGACGGGAGGGAGGTTCTTCGCTATGTTTCGCCAGGCCTCGGGACCGTCAAGCAGCGACTCGGGACGACGAACCGGTCCTGGGTAATGGGTCGAGACCGCTGAGGGTCGACGCTATGGAAAATCATGACGTCGGGGGTCTGGGTGCACAGGCGAATCCCCATCCCAGAAATCGCCGCTCTCCTCCCTCCGCCCCCCTCCCCGCCCCCTCAGGGGGGGGGCTTCCCAGAAGTGATCGTCCCCAGAGAAACCATGCGCCCCACACCCTCCAGGAGGAGGAGGAGGGGGAGGAAGAGGAGGAGGAGGAGGAGGAGAAGGAGGAGGAGGAGGAGGAGGCGGAGGCGTAGGCGGAGGAGGAGGAGGAGGAGGCGGAGGAGGAGGAGGAGGAGGAGGAGGAGGAGGAGGAGGTGGAGGGGAGGCGGATCGGGGTGTGTGGGCTCCCCCTGGCCAGGGCAGGACGGCGCGGGCAGCACCCATCTCGGACTCGGGCCTGGTGAGCTTTTTCTTAATCGGCGTTTCGACATTGGGCGCAGGGGGGGGAGGGCGGGCCTGGCTCCAGACCTGTGCTTAGTGCGACCGTTTGCAGCAGTGCGTCCGTCCATTATGGGGGAGGCTCCCCCTGCTCGAAGCAGGCGCCCAGAACAACCAAGATCTATTCCAGGTGGGGGGAGGAGGGGTGCGAGGGCCCGCGCCGATCGGCAAAGCAACGAACACGAATTCGACCACCTGGCTTGGCCGTGTTCGGTGTACGTACTCTGAAGTCGGGCCTGTCCCTCTACAGGAAGAAGGTGCCAAAATAGTCAACAAATAATCTGGGGACGATGTTTCGATTATTCTCACTGTTTTGAATTTCTCGTGCCAAATCCGCCTGTAGGAGGACATGCCCGACCTAAACGTACTCGGGTCGGACGGAGGGGGGGAGGGACTCAGGATGGGCAATACGACTTTGCAGTTGTGGTCCTTCCCCCGAAGACGCCCCCAAGAGCTCCCCAGGGGCCCCAAAGCGCCCCCACGAGGCCCCAGGAAACCTCCGACGGACCACCCAGCAGCCCCCCAGAAGCCCCAACGATGCCCTCCAGAAGCCTCCCATCGTGCATTACCCTTTGTCTCTTATGGGTGTCGGCGGACTGGCGTAAGCCAGCGGCCAGCGTTAACGAATCGGCTCACGCAGCCGACTTCCCTGGCGCTGGGAGGCACCAGCGTTGGGTCGGGCATGTCCTCCTACAGGCGGATTTTTGGACGAATTATCAGAATCAACCAAAACAAGCTCCAAAACAGTCAGAAATAATTCAAAATCGTCCCTGGACTGTTTTTTTTGATTATTTTTTGAACATTCCTCCTGTAGAGGGACAGGCCCGACCTAACACCAGCGTATCCAGGAAAGCGCCCGGCGCCAGAGCCGCAGCTGCATGCAGCGAACGCCCTCCGATCCTCGGCCTGCTTCAGCACGGTGCTGCCGGCCATCCCCTGGGCGCACAGGGGGGGCAGGAGAGCCCAGCATCGAGCCGATCAATCGGATCGGCGATCGAAATGGACGGGATCGGCACAACGCGGCAGCCGAGCTGGGAGAAATCGGATCGGCGAAACAATCGGCAGGCTGGTAGGCCTCCATGGGGAACATCGGAGCCCGGATCGGAGCCCCGAGCCGAACCGAATCAGGATCGGAAGCCGTCGACATCGAATCGGATCGAATCGGAGAAGTCGAAATGAGCCCTGAAAAAGATCGGCGACTCCAACGGGTGTGGTTTGCAACCGGCACTCTGGGGAATCTCCTGGCGGGCGCCCTGGGGGACGCGCGGGGACCTCGATAGAGTGCTCCCGCTCCCCGAGGAGGCCCGACGAGGAACGTGTCGCGCCCACCGGGCCCCAACGGTGCCGATCGCAAACCACACCCCAGCGTAACCATAACCATACCGGGGAGGAGGAGGAGGAGGAGGAGGAGGAGGAGGAGGAGGAGGAGGAGGAGGAGGGGGAGGAGGAGGGGGAGGAGGAGGACGAGGAGGAGGAGGAGGAGGAGGAGGAGGAGGACATCCCATCCCCCATAACTTATGTTGACCCCGACAAATATGTTCGAGCACCCAAAACAAGTATCGAAACAGTGTCGAACGAGTATCGCCTCCCAGGGCCCGACACGAAAGCATTTAAGTTTCGGTACTTTCCTGGTGTTCGAAATTCTTTCTGGTGATCCAGGCTAAAGCCGGTTGGAAGATCATAACCTGAAGGCTGGGGTCCTGAGGACGAGGTGCCCCAAGCAACGGAAGTCCATCCTTGGACCCCTTTTACCTTTCCTAAGCCCCCCTTCCCTCGTGGGCATGGGGGAAGCGGGTCCTGAGGGAAACGGATCCTGGAACCTGGGGCCTTCCTTTCTCCAGGACGAGATCTTCATCCCGAGTCCTTTCCTGACAGTCCCAGGGCCCGTTGAGGGCCCCGGGAGCCCGACAACGCCGAGAAACCTCAGGACCCGTTTCCCTTCTGGACCCGCTTCCTCCATGGCGACCGCAATCGCAACAGAGATCCAGAGGCGAACAGCAGCAGCCGAACCGACCTGGCTGAAACCAGGACTGGAATAAGATAGAGAGAGAGAGAGAGGGAGAGAGATAGAGAGAATGATAACAAGAGATAGAACGAGAGAGAGAGAGAGAGATAGCGGTACACACATATGAGTATGTGTGCCAATGAATACATACACACATATGCCGACACATCCATCCATCCGTCCAAACATACATACATGCATGCATGCATACGTACATACATTCAGACAAACATACACATACGTATTTATACAGAGAGACAGAGAGAGAGAGAGAGAGAGACACACTACACACATACATATATATATAGAGAGAGAGAGAGAGAGAGAGAGAGAGAGAGAGAGAGAGAGAGAGAGAGAGAGAGAGAGAGAGCGAGAGGAGAGAGAGAGAGAGAGAGAGAGGAGAGAGAGAGAGAGAGAGAGAGAGAGAGAGAGGAGAGAGAGAGAGAGCGAGAGAGAGAGATATAGAGAGAGAGGGGGAGAGAGAGAGAGAGAGAGAGAGAGAGAGAGAGAGAGAGAGAGAAGAGAAAAGAAAGAGAGAGAGAGAGAGAGAGAGAGTACAGAGGCTATGGATGCCCCTGGCCCGAGGCCATAGGTGCCTCCCCCCAGGCCCCGATCCCTCAGGATCCCCCCCCCTTGGAGCTGCCCGGCGGGTGCGCCCCCGCCCCCCGGAGCCTGTGCCGGCGGAGCCTGCGCGGGGCGGCCGCCCGTCGCCGTCGGCCAGGGGCGGGGGGGGCCCGCCGGGGGGGCCTCGGGCCGAGACGGCCCGCGGAGGAGGAGGGGGAGGAGGAGGAGGAGGAGGAGGGGAGGGGGAGGAGGAGAGGAGTAGGGTAGGAGTAGGAGTAGGAGTAGGAGTAGGAGTAGGAGTAGAGTAGGAGTAGGAGTAGGTAGGAGTAGGAGTAGTAGTAGTAGTAGTAGTTAGTAGTAGTTAGTAGTAGTTAGTAGTAGTAGAGTGTAGTAGTAGTAGTAGTTTAGTAGTAGTAGTAGTAGTGTAGTAGGAGGAGGAGGAGGAGGAGGAGGAGGAGGAGGAGGAGGAGGGGGGCCTCGGGCCGAGACGGCCCGCGGAGCAGCAGGGCGGCGCGGGGGATGCGGTGGAGGGAGACAGTTACTGAACACTCCCCCTCCCCCCCAAATTCAGTGTTGGCGCGCGCGGGGGAGGCTGCGGTCGTAGCGCATCTCACCAGACCCACCGCCAACTTTGAGCATTGGGGGGAGGGGGAGGCGTTGACGGATGAATGTGGCATGAGTGTTCGCTAATTTGCTCCGAGGCCTGTACGTGGACCCCTGTCCCAGACTTCGAATGGGCTCTCGGAGGGGCCAGAGGTCGTGGGGTGCACGGCGGGGGGGGGGGAAGGCCATACGATGGGGGGGGGGCGCCCCTGCTCGACAGGGGTGCGCCTGAGCACAGCCAGACCCAGGCCAGAAGAACATCCTCCGAGAACACGAGGCACTCCGCCGCCCAGACTGAAGAACATTCGAGAGTACGGTAGGAAGGTTTTCGACACCGCGTCGATCGTTCAATCTTGAATCGATCGCGGCCCCGATTGTTCAAGGTTGAATCCAGTCGGATCCAATGGCATTACCGTGCCCATCGGTGCTTCCGCGTCGCAGAATTCAACCTTTACCGCCTTCGCTGGCGTCGCCATCGCGTCAACGCCGCGCGAACCTACCGTACCCTCCCCCAGGATGCACAAGAACACTCCCCGAACACGAGGAGCATCAGGGCACCCTCCCGAAGTGACCTCGATCGTATGCCTCGGTCCGACCGTGGCCCCCCTCTGGGGTGTTGGATGCGCATTCCGGGGACCTTCCAGGAGACACTCGCTCCACTCGTGCGCCGCAGCTGCGTCCAACGTCTGTCGATTTGAGTCTAACCTGAGTCGAGCCTGAGTCGAACCTGAATCGAACCTGCGTCGAACTCGACTCGAGCTCGACTCGAACTGGGGTCGAACAGATCCGTGAGGTGGGCCCGAGGAGGGTCCCCCAAACGAGCATCTGACCCAGGGTTTCCCACGTTTCCTGAGCGCCCGAACTGTCTGGGCGGAGCTCGAGTTAGGTCGGGCGTGTCCTCCTACAGGCGGCTTTTAGACGAAAAGTAAGGAAACAACCAGAAAGTGTTCAAACATAGTCGGAATAGTCCAGGTATCGTCCCCCGATTTTTTATGAATGTTTTTAAATATTCCTCCTGCAGAGGGGCACGCCCGACTGAAGTCAAACCCGAGGTCTCCCCCATTTCCTAAGCGCCCGAACTCTCTGAATCGAACTTGGCTCGAACTGGGGTCGAACAGATCCGTTAGGTGGGCCCGGAGAAGGTTCCCCAAACGAGCATCTAACCCAGGGTTGCCCCACGTTTCCTGAGCGCCCAACCTTTCTGGGCGGAGCTCGAGTAGTTAGGTCGGGCGTGTCCTCCTACATGCGGATTTTGGACGATAAATAGGAGAAGAGTCAGGAAGTACGCAATCATAATCAGAATAGTCTAGAAATCGACCCCAGACTATTTTTGCCTAGTCTTGAATATTCCTCCTGTAGTGGGGCACGTCCGACTGAAGTCTAGCCCGAGGTCTCGCCCTCTTCCTGAGAGCCCGAACTCTCTGAGTCGAACTTGACTCGAACTGGGGTCGAACAGATCCGTTAGGTGGGCCTGGGGAAGGTCCCCCAAAACGAGAATCTAACCCAGGGTTTCCCCCTTTTCGGGGGAACGAAAGGGGGGGATAGCAAAGGGTAGGGTCGAGAATCAGCTCATGTAGCTGATTTTCCCGGCGCCTGCCGGCGCCGGGAGGCGCCCATGCATCGAGGACTGGGCCCGGCGGCGGGGCCGAAACCGTCTGCATGCAGCAAATCATAGCAACCAGGGGCCTCCTGTTTGGACGCCCGACATGGGTACGGAACAAACTTCCTCGTACTGGACGTGGGAACCACGCTCTCGCCTGAGACTTCGTGGCAAAATGCGAAGACACGGCGATGCAATGCCCCGCCCGCTCGACCCGCCCCTAGGGTCCGCCCGCCCGGCCAGCCCGTAAGGGCCCGCACGCTTGTTAGGATCCTCTGACTCGACTGCTTGCACTACTCCACGCCCGCTTTGAATTTGGACGCCCGAAATGGGTACGGAACAAATGGGCACAATGCCCAACAACAAATGCCGTCCCCAACCACCAGCGGCCGCTGTTGGGCAGGCGGCCTTCTGTTTCAAATAGACAGCGAGTCCTGTTCAAAATGGAGAGGAACTTCTGTTGGGCATTGTACCCGTTCTTTCCGTACCCATTTCGTTCGTGCCGATCCTAGATGGGGTCCGAGTAGATGGGGTCGGAGGATAGCAACGATAACAACGATGGCAGCGATAACGACCAGAGGCCTCCTAGGTGGGGTCCGAGCAGATGGGGTCCGGTGGGGGCATTGTTTCGCGACAACAACGACGGCAACGATGGCATTAGGTCGGGCGTGTCCTCCTACAGGGGGATGTTGGACGAACTTAAAAAAACAGACTCAACAAATACGCCGAACAAGTTAGAACATGCGCAAACAATTCGGCCCCAGACAATATTTCGCCTATTGTTGAATATTCCTCCTATAGAGGGACAGGCCCGGCTTAACGATAGCAGCGATAGCAACTACGGGGGGGCATTGTTGCAAGCACTTCGAGCGCGAACGCGTGCATGCATACACTCTACGCCGACCAGACAGCGCCTGCACTGCGCCAGCGGCGCACCCAGGACCGCCCAGGGGAGCGCGATGATCTCCGCGCACCACTCCGCCCCACGGGGCGGGGTCCATGGGGGCATTGTATAATGAACCCTTGGATAAGGAATCCAGGGTCTGAAGGCCAGCGGAACTCCTATCGAGGCTCGGCCATGGACATCACCGCCGCCCTCGTCAGATAAGGAATCCTCCGGGGTCTGGCGCCTCGTGGGACTACTCCTGCAGCTTCTTGGGGCGAAAGGCTAGACTTTTCGGTTCGGGATCCCCCTCTTGGGGCCGTCTTGGGGCCCTCTTGGGCCGTCTTGGGCGCCTTTTGGGCCGTCTTGGCGCCCTCTTGGGCCGTTCTGGGGGCCTCTTGGGAGCCTCTTGGGCCGTCTTGGGGCGATCTTGGGGGCCTCTTGGACCGTCGTCAACGCCGTGAAAGCCGAAAAGCCTTCTATGCTAAAAATGTATATTTCCCATTGGAAATCACCGATTTTGGCCTCTTGGGGGCCCTCTTGGGGCGCCTCTTGGGGGCCTCTTGGGGCTTCTTGGGGGGCTCCTGGGGCCTCCTGGGAGCGTCTTGGGGCGATAGGCTCGACTTTTCGGTTCGTGGTTCCCCTCTTGGGGCCGTCTTGGGGCCCTCTTAGACCGGCTAGCGGCCATCTGAAGCTCTCCTGGGGCCGTCTTGGGGCCCTTGGGCCACTTCACCTGGAAACAATACGCAGAAACGGGCCATGGGAGCCGCCCGGGAGCCGCTTCACTCAAAAAAATAAAAAGGTAACGTGCCATTACCACCGCAACACCCGGGCCTCACCCCCCTCTGCACTCCCCCTAAGGAGGGCTTCGCCTCTGCTCAAAGTCACTCGCTCGTACCTCGCTCTTTGCGTCACCTGGGCCGGCACGGGGACGGAAAGCGCATTTACTTTCAGAGCGCGTGATGTCGCTGGCTTGCGCGTTCTTTCTCTCTGTCTCCCCGTCTGGAGGCTCTCTTGGGGTATCTTGGTGGCATATTTGGCGCCCTCTAGGACTATCTCGAAGCTGCAGGAGGCCTCTTTGAGGGGGAGCCAGGGCGTGTTGGTATCTTGGGAAGACACTAGAGCGCGATAAATCACGATTGAAGATTAGGACGATACTATTGATGATGATGACGACGACATGCTGTCTCTTGGGAACATCTTGGGCGTCTCCCAGGCCCTCCTTTGGCTGTCTTGTGGCTTTCATGGACCCTCTTGGGGCCCTTCTGGGTCGTCCTCAGGCTCTCTTGGGATCCTCTCGGGCCGTCATGGCACAATCTCGGGGGGCTCTGGAGCTGTATCGGGCCGTTCTTGCCCGAAAAGGCGAGCTGGAAAACCTTCATAAACCTCAAGGCAACCATGGTTGATTCGTCCTCCAGCACTTTCGGGGGTTCTCTCGGGTGCCGCTTGGGGTGTCTTGAAGGCCTCTAGGGCTGTGCTGAGACCATCTTAGGCTATCTTGAATCGCTCTTGTGCCGTCTTCGGTCCCGTCCGGGCCTCTCTCACGCCGTCTTGGAGGTGCCTTAATCTGGCGAGGAGCTTATGCAGGTAGGGCGGGGCCAAGGGCGCCCCCCGGCCGGCGAAAGCCCTACTTTCGTTTTTTTCCCCCGCTTAGACCGCCCATCGGTGCTCGGGGGGGGGGGGTCTTGGAGACCTCTTGAGCCGTATTGAGGCCGTCGTGGGCTATCTGGATCGCTCTTGGGCAGTCTTCGGGCCCGTCTGGGCCTCTCTACGCCGTTTTGGAGGCCGTTGAAGCCGTCTGCATACGTGCAGATGTTCGAACACGTCCAAGAGGGGCGGCGCAAATCATGGCTGGCGGCATGTGCGCGGCCCAAGGGGGAGCCAGGGACGTAATGAAATAAGAAGAGGCGCCATGAAAGCTGAGGAAACATCATGGCCCACGCCATGATATTCCCCCCTCCCTAGCCGCCATCACCCCCTCTTTGCCACCCCCGACATTCCCTCCGAAGCCTATCCCCCCCCGCTCCCCGAACGTTCCCCGCATCGCCGCGGCCGCCACGGCCGCCGCGAGAGGGGTCCGCGGCGGGGCCGCCGCGCTGTGGAGCGCGAGGCGG